GTGTCAATAGACAATGTATTAAACTTGGTCCCTCTGTGTCATAAGACAATGTCTTAAACTTGTTCCCTCTGTGTCATTAGACAGTGTCTTAAACTTGGTCCCTCTGTGTCATTAGACAGTGTCTTAAACTTGGTCCCTCTGTGTCATTAGACAGTGTCTTATACTTGTTCCCTCTGTGTCAATAGACAGTGTCTTAAACTTGGTCCCTCTGTGTCATTAGACAATGTCATAAACGTAGTCCCTCTGTGTCATTAGACAGTGTCTTATACTTGGTCCCTCTGTGTCATTAGACAATGTATTAAACTTGGTCCCTCTGTGTCATTAAAAAATGTCTTAAACTTGGTCCCTCTGTGTCATTAGACAATGTCTTAAACTTGGTCCCTCTGTGTCATTAGACAATGTCTTAAATTTGGTCACTCTGTGTCACTAAACAGTGTCTTAAACTTGGTCCCTCTGTGTCATTAGACAGTGTCTTAAACTTGGTCCCTCTGTGTCATTAGACAATGTCATAAACTAGGTCAATCTTTGTCACTAGACAGTGTCTTAAACTTGGCCCCTCTGTGTCATTAGACCATGTCTTAAACTTGGTCCCTCTGTGTCATTAGACAGTGTCTTAAACTTGGTCCCTCTGTGTCATTAGACAATGTCTTAAACTTGGTCACTCTGTGTCACTAGACAGTGTCTTAAACTTGGTCCCTCTGTGTCATTAGACAGTGTCTTAAACTTGGTCCCTCTGTGTCATTAGACAGTGTCTTAAACTTGGTCCCTCTGTGTCATTAGACAATGTCTTAAACTTGTTCCCCCTGTGTCATTAGACAATGTCTTGGACTTGGTCACTCTTTGTCATTAGACAATGTCTTAAACTTGGCCCATCTGTGTCATTAGACAATGTCTTGGACCTGGTCACTCTTTGTCATTAGACAATGTCTTAACCCTACCTAGACCGGGGGGGGGGCTAAAAGTGCCCGCGGCAACTTTGATGTCACCTAGCGTCTGAACGGCTAGCCGTAGAACGGCCAAAGTTGCTGACTTTTCCTAGAATATTGTTGGCAACAATTCTCTATCATTGGAATAAGATAATAATTTTTTGTGTTGCCATTGCAACGGGTTTCTGACAGGCATTTTTTGCTAAATTTAGTACTTTTTGTTTCAACAATAGAATTTTATGGGTTTTATGTCAAGTTACTCATGGTTTCTAATATTAATAACATCCCATATAATTTTATGTAAATTTTATCATTAAATATGCATAATTTATGCTAATTTGATGACGACATTGGCCAAAATCCAAGATGGCGGACCATATCATTAGAACAGGTATATACAGGTTATTTTCATTAAAATTTCATCAATACTTCCATTTCTTTTTCCAAAAAAGGTTTAAATGAAGGTCTTTAGTATATTTACGATGTATTTTAGGCTTAATCATGAAAAAAAACTATTTTTGAAAATTCAAGATTGATGATCCAAGATGGCGGATATCTTAAATATGCATGACGTCATTTTATGGCGTCACCGGTGTTGCTTTGGGCAACATAAGACTTAGTACACCATAATATTCTGTCATAAACACTTTTGGTACAGTTATGTTGAATACCATTTAGTTTTCAGGGAAAAACCTATTTAGACGGTTTTGGCCAATAAAATCACATTAATGACGTCATATTACGCCATAACGACATAAAAATTGTAGATATGATAAATTTTCACTATTACACCATTCTCTAAAAATTTGGTGGTCATACGACATACCGTTCGCGAGTTCTTAGGGGGGTCAAAAGAGCCCACCCCCCCGGCCCCCCATGTCAAAAAAAGCCCGGTCTAGGTAGGGTTAAACTTGGCCCCCCTGTGTCATCAGACCATGTCTTAAACTTGGTTGCTCTTTGTCAAGAGGCAATGCTAGGATATTGGATTGGACAATGAACAATATTATTTCTTATGGTGAGTAAAAGTAACTATAGACACCAGGGCTCATATGTGTATGTGTTTGTGTGTTTGTGTGTGTGTGTGTGTGTGTGTCTGTGTGTGCATATGTGTGTGTGTGTGTGTGTGTGTGTGTGTGTGTGTTTGCGTATGTGTGTGTGTGTGTGTTTGCGTGAGTGTGTGCGCGTGCGTGACGTGTGTAAATGTAAATGTTTTCAATTATAGTTTGGAAAATACTTTTTTATCACTCATGGAAAAAGGTTGCGACGTAAAGCAAGAGAAGATCACGTTTGGCGGGTGGGGAACGGTGCCTGGAAAATTTAAATCTATCTCGGGAGTTGCCGTGTCTGCTGACAATGAGATATTTGTGACTGATGAGTTAAACAAACGAGTCCAGGTCTTCAGTATAGATGGGACCTTACTCCGCTTGTTTCCAACGGTACTGCCGGGTGAAAGTAACACAATGCTCGAAGCTCGTGGTGTTGCTTTGGATGTGGCGCCTGGCTACCTGTGGGTACTGGTAAGCAGAAATAGATGGTTCTTCAATAAAGAGTATGTCGTACAGTACAGTAAGAACGGACAGCCCATAAAAAAGTTTGACGTAAGCCTCAAGAGCTTATATCCCGTCATCGCAATGGACGAGCGCAACAATAAAGTTATCGTGGGAGACAAATATAGAATTATGGTGTTGGATCCAAACGGCTCTCGCCTTTGGAGTTCAGAAGTGCGTCCGGCATACGGGATCTCGGGAGTCACATCGGATAGGAAGGGAAATGTCCTGCTGACGGATGGGTATAGAACCATCAAGAAGTTCAATCCGTCAGGAGTAAAGATATTTGAATTCGGCACCCGTGGAAAGGGGGAGGGGCAACTGAACTCTCCCAAAGGTATTTGTCTGGACACCTCTGGTCGCATCATTGTGGCGAACTATTTGAACGACCGCGTAGACATGTTCACAAGCCAGGGCGAGTTTGTTCGCACCATCGCGTACATTAAATTCCCGGAGGCTGTCGCTATGGGACCATGTGGAGTGTTGGTTGTGACTACCCCATTTACCCACACTGTAACTATCTTTCCACAGCAAATGGTGCTTCCTTAAAGCCCTAAATTTAACGCATAGCCGAACATGGCATATATTGTCAAAACTGTCGTCATTGATATAACATTTACCAATCTTAGTGCCCTAATTGGTTCTCCAGATGTTTAGGTCCAGACCTGTACCTAAATACGTCAGTGAAGATTAGACATCCATGCAATAATATACGCCAAAAAGTATAACTAACAAAAGATTGTGGATGATACTTGAAACGTTTGACTATTTCCAAAAGCATATCCAGTAGCTTGAGTAACTGTTATTTTTTTTTTTGCTGGACCTAAATAATTTTGCAGGTACAGGTATTAAGCACATGAAGGACCAACATCTTTTCACTCCAGATTGTAGTTGAAGTAAATATACATATCCATATATTGTTTGAATTGTTTGTAGGCCTAGGGCGCATTGATAACTGCTATAGTGGTGACATGTCCATGTAACCTTCTGGCTAAAAAAAATTAATGCAGGCATGCACAAGTATGTATTTCACTTTGTCGTCAACGTAGGGGGGTGGGGGACATAAAAACTTCACATATTGTTTGTACGGAATATTGAACCTAATTTTGAGGATTTTCTTTTTAACGATCTGTAGTAGAAAATTTTTAAGTATGTATCATTAAGGTTTTCTTTTATCTTTCTTAAACGAAACATAAAAAAAAACTCCACATATTGTACGGAATATTGTACGTAGTTTTCAGGATTTTCTTTCTAACGATCTATAGTAGAACATTTTTTAGTATGTGTCATAAATATTTTGTTTTATCTTTCTTGGACGAAAGATAAAAATTGCACATATTGCACTAAATATTGTACCTAATTTTGAAGATTTTCTTTTTTAACGATCCATATTAGTTGTACGAAATATTGAACCTAATTTTGAGGATTTTCTTTTTAACGATCTGTAGTAGAAAATTTTTGAGTATGTATCATAAAGGTTTTGTTTTATCTTTCTTAAACGAAACATAAAAAAAACTTTACATATTGTACGGAATATTGGACGTAGTTTTCAGGATTTTCTTTTTAACGATCTGTAGTAGAACATTGTTGAGTATATACCATGTAGATTCTGTTTTATATTTCTTGAACCAAACTTAAAAACTGCACATATTGTACAGCATATTGTACCTAATTTTGATAATTTTCTTTTTTTACAATCTGCTGTAGAACATTATTGAGTATATACCTTGTTTTACCTTTCTTGAAGCAAACAAAAAAGCTGCACATATTGAACAGAATATTGTACATAATGTTGAGGATTTTCTTTTTTTAACAATCTGCAGTGGATTATGGTTGACTTTATTGTTGACTGTATTCTTTGTTTTACCTTTTTTGAACCAAACTACACATACGTACCAATTTTTTTAATCTAATTTTGAGGATTTTCTTTCTTAACGATCTGCAGTAGAAAATTGTTGAATATATACCATGTTTTACTCTTCTAGAATGAAACATAAGAACTGCACATATTTTACAGAATAAGAAGGTTTATCTTTTGTGGGACAAGAAACAAATGAAGAAACCTGTACCAATGTACTGTAGCAACACAGCTTTAACTACCCTACAGGGCAGTATTTGACAAGTAACTATTTAGACAACGCTAAATTTCACCATAAAGAAATAACTGCACATCTATGATATTAAGTTATAAGGAAACATGTAGCATATCAGTATGTGGTGAATTGGTAGCCTCTACCAGGCTTGGGGAGGCGGCTGGAAAGAGTAGAAATCGGCCAAATAGAGAGATAAGCATGCCAAGGGAGTTTCAACTTTGTCCGTTGAGAGAACAGTTCGCCGCACCCCAAGCCTGTCGGGAGTCGCCATTTCTTCTGCTTCGGCACGACCCACTTCTGCAACCCCTGCCACGACGACTTCCAGCGCGTCACCAACATCCCCAAACAAGAACTACCTCACTGTCCTGCAGGTAGGGAGGGGGGGGGGGGCATTCTCGCAAAAACTACAAAATAACTGGTGGGGAGGGGGACATTCTTGCTTTTACAGATATTGTCCCCTTTTTAAAACAGAACTGCAAAATAATGCATTCTTGCTTTTTTTTAAACTTATAATTGAGAAGAATTGTTTTGGGTAGAGCTGATTTAGGGGCGTTGTTTGTATTTTGTCCTGCATAGTAAAGATTTGGACACGGAATGCAAGCTGAGCGATTTCCAGCGAGACTCGGACGATCGGATTAAATCCATCACCCAGAAGCTCAACGCGACCGAAAAACTCGTGGAAGAACTACAACTTAAGAGTAATAAGTTGGAACGGTTTTCTAGACGGAACAATATAAGAATCATTGGACGGAAAGTTGTAAAAGGGGAAAACTGTCTAGCTACCGTCGGAAAGATTTTACACGACAAATTCGGACTTGATCAGGTTAGAGTGGAACGCGCGCACCCTGACGGGCCGAGGAGCACGAGTGACGGCGTGGGAACACCACAACACATCCTGTTTAAGTTGAAAAGTTACCAGGACAAGGTCAGCATTATGAAGGTCGCGCGGGTCAAGCTCAAGAACGAAGGCTACTATTTCACGGACGATCTGACCATGGCAGACTTACAGGAGAAACGGAAATGGAAGGACAAAGCTAGAGAAGCGTATGGGAAAGGTCAAAAGTATCGCTTCTTTAATGGACTATGGAGAGACAGTCAAGGAAAACCAGTGAGTTTTTGAGTTCTAGAGTAAAACGAAAGGTAGCCAAAATGATTTAGGTTTTGTCTCCTTCTCATGAGTGGAAGTGAGTGAAATCTGTATGGGCTCTAACGTAAAAAAAAGGATGTCTAAATAGGAGCCCCACATCCTCGCCAGATTTGCTGTTTTCTAATAGCAATGCTAGTTCGTGTAGCTACGTCTATTTTTATGTTTAACTCTATGTTCGTTATTTTTTTCTTTTTTTCCTACCTACTGTTACTCTGTTTACAAACGTACAAATATGTCTGAAACCCCATCCACCTGCTGTTCCTAACCCACGGTTGTCAATCAAGACGTTCACTCACCTGTATGCTGATTTGCATATCAAAAAGACCGACCCATTCCCGTCATCATTCCAATTGATACCACCTCCACTCCTGTCCCCTGGCGCTCCAAAGTAATCTTTCTATAGCCAGTTTTAATTGTAATGGCTTGAGGAATAAAGAAAAAAGACGGGAAATCTTTACCTTCTTGAGAGTCATTGCACGAGAAAACCAGGCAGAGGCCGGAAGATGGGGGTCGGCCAAATCGGCTCATACTTTGTATGTGAGATAGGTATGAGGAACTATTAACAGCCATATAGTTAAAACCCTCCAGGTATTTTTCGTTATGGAGTTCTGGGACCCCCCTCTGAGACCCTCAAAAATCTAACAATTTATGGCTGAAAATTACTGAAATTACAATGGACACCACGGTAATTCTGGTAATGATATGAACATGGGATTTCTTTTGTCACGTAGCATGGGTCTTCTACTTTTGCAAAACAAAAATTGAAGATGCAACATTGAAGTTAAAAGGGTATACCAGGGGGTTACCAGAACCAATGAAAACAGAATTTTCATCTTTCTAAATTTTAGTCATTTTTAAGTAGCTTTTTGTCCGTGACGCGGCAAATTTGATAAACGGTTTTACCATTGCTGGAAAGAGGAACATCTGCTGATTCAAAAACAAGTGTCGTTTAATAGACCTCATTCCAGATACATGATTCTATTCTCGCGAGAGCGCATCCTTGGCGTGACCGCGCGTGACCTCGCACGAAAACGAGACCGCCGTTGGGTCACTCCCGGTCAGGTTTCCCATTACGCAGCCTAACAATGGAGTCTTCCACAGTCGATAGCGATACTCCAACTTCAACGGTGAGTTTTGCCCGTCCAGTGTAAAATATTGTCGGAAGTACGGCTTTCACGGGTAGAGAATGTTGTTGTGGGCATGTGGGATCGATTTCGGCGGGTAGAAATGCATGTTTCTTCCGATTTTGAACAGTTTGGACGGGCGGCATTGTAGCGTATGTGATGCACTTTGTTTACATGCTACGTACGCAGCAAACTCATATAATATGGAGAAAAATATCGAGCTTAGCCGGGTATATAGCCACAAAAACCTAAAAATGTTGGCCCTGGAGTCTTGTGGGTGGAAATGTATGGAGTGTTCGGCGATTTCTCCGTAGATTTATCGGTTATAGCGTCTAATGTCCGGCCGTACGTAGAGTGAAACTTTCGTAACTTGGGGAGGGGGGCGGTTGTTATTCTAACGTCCCCCGTTTATTATTATTATTTGTCGATGGGACTTTACTAGAATAGAACGGTAGAAAAACATAACTTACCTTTGTGAGATCCTGTTGGGTAGAAATACGTCTCTTGAACGAAATTTTGGCGGTCGCCCTGAAGATTCATCGATTACAACGTCAAAGCGCCCAGCCAGGTTTTTAGTCACTCACGCAGTGTGGGAGAGGCGGGGCATGTGTTTTTCTAAACGTCCTACGTTTTTGGAGACGGGGATTTTCCAATGTTTACAATATTATAAGAACATCATAAACAGTGTCTGGATGAGATCCTGGCTTCGGGTGGTTCATGTTCTCATTTCTTTATTTATAATATCTATGTCTTTGTCTAAAACCTTAAACTTTACTCACAAATAATATTCTTCTTATTAATCTGGCATTGCTAAAAAAATATAACTGTTAATGAAAAATTTTCCATATTGTATGATTCCAGGTGCAGCACCCGTCCTTCACTCCTGGGTGAAGCAGAAACCAGAGAGACCAGCTCCAAAGAAGAGATGTTCTCCCACCAAGAAAAAGAAAGGAGCTTGTGGACTTAACAAAGTAAATGTTGCATGTCAACTACAATGTACATAGTTTGAATTTTATTCCATAAAGTTTTGTATCAGTAATGTCCGCATAATTTTCTTTTCGGATGCTAATAAAAACATACTTGGATTGCTTCACATGGTATTTTACTTCTTGTAAAGAACACTTCATATTGTTGCACTCAAACATTGTCATTGCATTTTTGACTGACTTTACAGATTGATGAACC